TGTTGGTTAATTGATCAAAGGGAGTGCTTTTACAAGTTATTTATAAATAATAAAAAAAATGAGGCTCTTTTTAAAGTATTTGTCAATTAGGGGCAGTCAACATTAAAACTCAATAGTCAAATTAGCGTTTTTTGAATTCACATTACCATTCTTATTTTTACATTTTATAATTTTCAGCAAATGTGTAAAAATATTGGTCCAAGTGCAGCCTTTTACGTGGAGTTCGCCCGGCGCAATGTTTTGTCTCTTAGGGAAAAGCTAGCTTATGCATTAGCGGTTTTTTTTTAAACTAAGATAGCTCGCTAGTTTTAAATTAATATAGATGTTCGTGAGTTGCATGCGTTAAAAAGATGTATATATTGTATTATAAGTAAATTAAAATTATGTTAAATTATTACTATATTATCTTAGTATTTTACCGACTAGTGTACTGTTCGAATATTTTTCTAACTAATGTATTATATAGGTGTTTTTGTGGACTAGTATGTTATTTAGGTATTTTGTCAGTTAATGAACCATCTAGATATTTATGTAATTATATATTTTTGCGATGTATGTGTCAATCGACGGTAATATATGAAGGAATATTTGTTTTCACTTTATAACTCAAATGAAAAATGAGATATTTTATTAGTAAAATACAAATTTCAAAACTTGTGTAAATAATGACTAATTCATAGTAATTCATTAAAGACATTAATGATGTGATAATATTTGGAAGATCGAGACATAAAAATAAAGAATATGTACTAAAGAGTTAGTCCTAATATATAAATGTTACATCAATACTAAATAAACATACATATTCATTAGTACTATGTGTCATGATAGTTATTACATTTTCTAGTGGTTATTCTCCGTATCGAAACAGTTATATTTAATAAATGTAAATAAAATTGAAATAACAAATATAGAAAGTAAGACATTGAATTTTTATTGTAGTTTTAGATTTCAAGTTCATTGTATTATTAACATTTTTTAGACAAATTAAAACAAATAATTTTTCATATTTTAATTTTATTATCATTGAATTATAAGAGATATTGAAGAATAACTAAAATTAAAGATATAAATGACGAACATGTCATTTGATGTGATAACAATTTTTAATACTCTTAAACTAGAAAAAGATTTTATATATATATAT